GCACCTACCCGTGCCACCACAACCTAGTTGGGCACATTAGCTCGAGCCGGACTGAAGGTCCCCCCTGTATTTAGTTAATAAGCCTTAGAACCAAATTCCAACCTCCGAAATTCTCTACAAGACCTGATTCTAACATACGAACATCGTACCAATCACCACACACCGTACCAAAACACGATCGTACACCTTTTGCTGAATTCACACCATGCCCAGTATAATTCACATGCCCATAATAACATCCTTCGACCACAATAGATGTAATTTCACAAATTCGATGCCCGCAATACATCTCATGACGTATATAAATCCTGCTCCAACTCTCGTAACACCGCCATGACTAAAGAGACGCGTAGAAACTCATAACCACCTGCCGAATCAATAATTCATGGAGTCTCTCCCCTTGACAAGAACCATTACCTCATTCTGAACCGAATAACGATATTTCCTATTAATGTACCTTATATAAATCTGATTGCACAAATTTCAGGTCCAATAATCTCGTCGTACCCAGTACAAGCCGCCTCAAACAGTGACTTAGATCTCATATGATGCCATCAATGCGCCGACAAGCTACAACTCAAATATGACACATAAGGAGGAACAAACTCTGGAAAAGAATTACCCAGCCCGCGTAACGAATAAAACGGACGAACAGATGTTATGAACCCTTCTTAGAGGAAGAGAAACAAAATATGCAGGAATACATATAGGGAACCGTACTCAACATAACACTGTTGCGGCATGCAACCCAATCCAAACATGATACCGTTGCGGCGTGCAATCCGATCCAAATAATGTACCCGTGGCGGCGTGCCACCCGATCCACTCACAATAATAAATAAGGACATACCCGTCAAGACATAATGCTTCTTCCTACGGAATACCGAATTTCGGTCACAAGCACGCCAAGTTCAAAAATACAACTCTGGGGGAGACGGATAGCTTAATATGCCACAAAACCCAAGCACGACTAAGGTGCGATAAATGACCTGCATCTCGAGAGCCATCCTGCTCATATGACATCATAAGCTACACGGGACCTCAACACACGTGCGAATAATCAAGCCGTCTCAATCCGGCACAACCCCCACAGTTCACAACCAAAGGAATAGAGTTCCTTCGAGGCATAAACTCTCACATTAACGATAGTACCAAAAATCTCCGTACTTGGTTTCAATCTTTAACAATCAAGTGACTAGCATGTCACACTCATACAATTCCCCGTAGAGTACGCTCCCACGACCTTCCGCCCAGGTAGCCAAATCCGCAAATCCATACCACAAACTGTACTAATTCTGTAAAGCAGATCAAGAATCCGCAAATCAATACACAATGCTCCTTCCACATAACACCATTCCCAGGCGACACTAGGATAATGTCACCTTACTCTGAACATCTAATTCTTCCCGTCTCCTCCGATCTCATGACATTCTTGTCAATATCGAACTGCAACCTTGGTCCTCAACTTTCAAATTCTCATGCCGCTCACTACACCTATCATGCCGCTATACTAGAATACACGAATTCATCATAACCCCTGAACTACCAGTAGAATAACACTTCATTGGCTAGAAACCTTTCACTTAGATCATTTCCGAAGAGCCCATGCGACACGCAACTGAATTCCCAAACCGCAAAAAATACAACCTCAAGCCGTGATCTAAACCGTCATAACTTTTTCGGAATCCATTTACACAACAAAGCCATTTGAATCAAATACCTCCCAAATCAATCAGGTCATGGTGGTTGTCAAGCTCGCACGTACAACCACAAACCCCATGTATAACTTCACACGTTGAAGGAACAGATCCTTGCCACAATCATGTTGATTCAGCCATTACTAACCGACTCAACATCTTTCAATTTACCCTTGACCTGACATAGAAATATGATAGTTCCATTCACAACATAACAAACTCAATCTGCACTCATCCCGAGTGACCCGATTCGCGAGACCACATCGTCTCAATACACATGACTCATCTCATACCTCCTTACATGCACAATAACATCTCCAACTGGTGCACCCATTCTATAAGACCTTTCGCGAGTTCGAAGCTATTTCTTCCTTTCCTCTAATACTGCACTTTAATTCTTGAATCCACTAGGACCGTTGTCGAGAGTCACTCACTCTGACCTGGTCCCGAATATAATAAAACTCCAATGCCCTACTAGCACATGAACACCCCCTCAAAGAAGCAACCGACTGAATTCATTCCCTTATACGTCACATCTACAAAGTATAAACTCTGAGTCTTCTCAAAACCTGCACATGAATCGATAGGGCGGAGTATAGCACAAGTTTATCAATTTCTCTACTCGAATTACCCTTGATGTTTCCCTTTCTTAGTCACAAATAATCCACCTATGCACCGATAACAAGAAGCTGCACAAGCCGACAGCCACGCGATCCAATCGTAGACGGTGGGGCTCCCCCACATAGCTTTAAGCTACCATCACATAATGTAGAGCCCACAACGATTCCTTCTTCTCATTTACCATGATCCCACACCGTTAAACCGCCAAATTTCTCGAAGTCTTTTGCTAAGCTTTTCATGAACATTCTGAATCACGAGTCATAGTCACACACTCGACCTCTAACCGGGTAGCAAGTAGTATTCTTCGTAGAAGTTTCATCAACATCACACAACCGCTAACCTACTCACAAGAGATAACCCACCTATGGAATTCCTTACCGACATCTTCCAACGACGCTGCACTGGGTACAACTACCACATAATCAGTAAATTCTCCTGAGCTCATGCTCGCCCACCAGTTGTATAAGTTTGTTCTTTCCCCATTGACATCAACTGAAAGTTCAACAATACCTTTCCAACTCAAGTCATATTGTGTCTGAAATGATAATCAAATCTTCACACCCCTCTTCATTTCAAGCAAACTCATTTCTGCCATATTTAATCTTTCTTCGTACAGTGACTATCATTCCAAATAAAATTTGTAGACCTAGTCACTTTCAACCCTGCCTCCCAAATCGCTCTAATCTTCCTCAAGGTACGTGGCTATCCTACTACAGAATCCATATGTTACTCTGTCACTCCCACTTCGGTCAAAATATCTCCTTTAAGCAACTTCTCGACCTCTGCTTCTCATACTTGACCTGCTAGTACTCCAACCACCGTGAAACACTTCCCGCCATGTCTCCCCTCATACTTTGCTGCCCAAATACTGCATTAACTCAAAATCCTTCTCTGTAGAACCTGAACCAATAAATTGATACCGACTTTAAGCCTCCTAGAAGATCATCTTCCTCGAGCCATCAACATTAGAAATACCAATTCGATTCTGAACCGCTGCACACCGCTATCTCTAACAACCGCGTCTTAGGCACCATTCCACAACACCCTGCCCCGAAGGCAAAAGTCAAAGAAGCCTATAACATCGACGAACCTTAATGCGTTCGAACAAGGATGACGACACCATATCACAAATGAGAATTCCACCACGCTCGAAAATACCAAGCCTCGTCACTTCAACAACCAAACCTGGACATCTATAGTCTGATTGCCTTTCCTCCGCTGGAATTAAATGTTGAACCTCTAAATCATGCACTGAGAAATCCTCCTTTCGATTCATTCACTGCCTCGACACATAATCGAGCACCTTACCATTACACCAACATTGTACGATAACAATGCATAGACATCGTAGAAATCTGTGTACAGTCTCGAAACCATAGAAAATACAGACACTGAGTTGGAACATAAGAACATCCTTCCGTAAGGCGACGATAATAGCATGCCCAAACACGCATGGAAAAATATCCTGCACCATGTTTGTAGCACCACTACAACTCCTCGACGCCCAATTGATAACAAGCGCTTCGCGTCGTATAAGATTGAGTAGAAAAGAAATAAAGGCACAAGCCTCAATGGAATCAAAACGCACGATGAGGAAATCAAGAAGGGAAGTGCTCCTAACAGCCCTGTAGCCTCACGAAGATAAGTACAAATATTTCCGTACCGATCCGCAAGACTCTACTAGACTTGCTCATGACTCGTGAGAACTAAGTGAACCTAACGCTCTGATACCAAGCTGTCACGGCCCAAAATCCACTATAGATCGTGATGGCGCCTAACGCCGTCGTCAGGCAAGCCATCAGTGATTTACCAATTTAATTACTCATTTTAGTATTTTGAAGTCATAATTTTCCTTAATTGAACAGTATAAAATAGAATTCACAGAGTAAATAAAATGTTTACACGAACCACCATAATGGATAACCTAAAGGAAAACCCCAAAATCCGGTGTCACAAGTGCATGAACATCAACTAGAAAATATAATAAAATACAACCGATGTCTGGAATACAAATTAGACAGGAGAATTTAAATAACTCTGATGGAGACTCTGCAGACTGCAAATCGTAACATGAAATGCTGCTCACGGTAAAGTCCCTGCAATAGCCGCGCCTCTGTGCCCAAAAGACCACCAGACATATATGTACCTGCATGAAAAGTGCAGCAAGTGTAGCATGAGTACGTAAATCAACGCGTACCCAGTAAGTATCTAGCCTAACCCTAGAGAAGTAGTGACGATGGGTCGACATCAACACTTACTAGTGGTCCAATAAAACAGATACAGTAGAAATAAACAGGTGTGAGACAGAGTAAATAAGCGAAATAGCAAGTATAATACGTGGTACAATTGAGGAATTTGTCTATGGAATGATAAAAGTTTTTGTAATAACAATATTGTTTGTTGTTTACTTGTCAAGTTGTTGTCATGGCAAAATTTTAAAGGATCAAATCAAACGGTGGTCGGATAGTGGTTCACTCATCCTTCAGAAATTCTGGATCCGCCTCTGGTTGTTAGTATTTTATTAATCACACATTAAAGTTAAATTATTTGTCCAACTTAAAATTATTTTATTTTCAAAAAATATTTAACTATGTAAATATACGTTATAACCAAACATGAACACATGTAATTACATTATAGTTATATTACATCAAACAAACAGGTTTACAAGATGTCCTTCCAAATAGACTCTTAAAGAAAATTAAAACCAGGCAAATTGTGACACTTTTGCCAAATTTATTTCAAGTAGTGATTACATTGAAGATACATTTCAAGTGAAATTCTTGAAAGAACTACTCTTGATTTCCTCAATCAACGCAATGAGCTGTGAATGAGATGAACCACCTTCTTCAGCGGCACTCTTCAACTTTTCTGCCATTAACTTAGCATTTTGTCGAATTTCCCTACTTTTCTCTGAATCACACATCAAACACTTGATAGCCAACTCTAATTTCTCTTTCGAAACCACCGGACTCGACACAATAAACCCCGAGTTCCAGACATCTGCTCCGACTCCGATTCCAAGTCCAAGTTGCTCCAAAAGCTTTTCGCTATAAAAATTCTCTGAAAATAAGGGCCATGTAATCAATGGTAGACCTACTGTTAAAGCTTCTAGTATTGAATTCCAACCGCAATGAGTCAAGAATCCTCCAATTGAGCGATGTTTCAAGATTAATACTTGTGGCGCCCAACCTTGGATAATTAAACCCATTTTATTCTTTTCTACAATATTTTCCTTGAAACCATTAGGCCACCAATTAAAATGGCCGTTCTCGCCGTCTTCTTGATTTTTCTCCTGCTCTCTAACCACCCAAATAAATGGACAATTTGCAGCCTCTAATGCTAATGCAATTTCGCTAAGCTGATCATTGGGAAATCTTACCATGCTCCCAAAGTTAACATAGAGCACAGAGTTGTGTTCTTGTTTTTCCAGCCAATTCAAACAATCACTGTAACCTTTCCAAGGGTCAGTAGAGGAATTGGAGTTTGAAATTTCTTTTGAAATTTTTACGCATTCCAGGTTGTTGATAAACAGAGAGAGGGGGCCAATGTGCCAACCTTTTCTCCCTCTAACTTTTTTATAGACTTCGGCATAACCAGGTTCGAGCTCAGAACAAGTGTTATGAATAATGCCATAGCTACGAAGCTCAGCTTCTAGGTTTTCATTTACCATCAGACTGAAATCAGTCTCCTCTATAAGGAAATCTTCTATTTCTGAGCGTTTCATTTTGATCTCGTGAGGTAAGCCAGGGATCAAGAAACGCTCAGAATCCGAAGCCACTTTCATATGAGGTGTGTATCCCTTAAGAAAATGCCAGGCACATTGATGTATAAAAGTCGCAGGTTGAAATGAGTACCTCGGAATTTTCAACTCCTCAGCTAAATCAACAGTCCAAGGAAAAAACATGTCGGAGACAATGCATTGAGGATTGAGCTGCCGAATTAACTGTTCCATGGGTTTTTGGAGCAGCGTAAAGCCATAACATACTTTGCCAACTATTTCCATTGAAGGGCTAGCGATAATATTTTCAACTCCCTCAGGTAAGTCCACTTCATCTGCCGGAAATTTAACCGTTTTGACGGAGATTTCGCTGCCCAATTCGAGACAGTCTTTATCGACTGAGGATTGAAAAAGGAGAGCATTTTTTGGAGTGGCAATTATGGTGATTTTGAGGCCTCCGTAGAAGGCGAAAAGTCGAGCAATGTGTACTATTGGTGTTATATGGCTATTCATAGTATATGGAAGGAACACCACATGTGCCATTGCCGCCGGTGACTTACAGTGATGACAGTAGTAAACAAGTCACAGAACTGAAAGGCTGGGTGTAATTACTGGTTGTAACTTTGTATTTTATGAGGAAATAATGCAGGGGAGCAGGGCAGATCTAGTTCAAAAATTATGGGTTCAAGTAAACTCGATAATTTTTATGTAGAACTTGATTTTGTACTAAAATATTCTTTAAATATATAAAAATATTTAGTTTTGAACTGTATTCTTTGGTTTATTTTAAATATATAAAAATATTTAGTTTTGAACTGTATTCTTTGGTTTATTTTAAATATATAAAAATATTTAGTTTTGAACTGTATTCTTTGGTTCGTTATTATATATTAACTTATATTGCTTTACAAACTCGTAAACTTAAAATCTCGAATCTCTATAACCACCAATTGTCAAGTTGAACAGAATCTTGGAGTTTGCAATCATACAAAAAATTTGTTGAATTATGAAAGTAGCTATCTGAATGTTCAATAAATGTTGAGACAAACTTTCAAGCTCAACTCCATGTAATCTTTGTTGCCTTTTACGTTGTGTCCAAAAAGTTGAAGTTGAAACTGTTACTTCGATATTTGAGCTTAGTGTCTGTGTCACCCCTCAACATAGATTTAAATGTCATTATCTTGCCAAATTTTCAGCACCAAATCTGTATAATATATTTTTTGTCAACACCTCAATAAAGAGTTTTCATCTTAAAGAATTGTTTGGATTAGGGGTGGTATGTGGGCCGGGCCCGGTTCTGGGTTTCGCGGGCCCGGTCCTAAGTGGGCCAGTCCTAGGCGGGCCGGTCCTAAGCAGTCCCGGGATTCGCGGGCTTCTCGTTGAAACTGGTCCGGGACCGGGACCACGAACTAGCGGTCCCGTGTTAAGTGGGCCGGTCTCGGGCCCAAACGGTCCTAAGCGGGCCCAAGTAGGCCCAACTAAAACTTTCTATTTTTAAAATTATTTTTATACAAGTTAGAGAAAAAAAATGATAATAAAAATATCTAAGGCAATTCCTAGTAAATTATATTATAGAATTGTCACCTAAATTTTTTAATTCAAATTTAAAGACAAAAATATTGTAAAGAGATATTCAAAGCAATGCGTTATAATATATATACTATACTATACTATATATACATCTTAAGATATATAAGCTATATTCGATTTACTATATATACATCTTAAGATTTATACATTAATATTCGATTTATATACTATATATACATCTTAAGATATATATATACTATATATATTTATATACTATCGAATATGGCTTAAGATCTCTCTCTCTCTCTCTCTCTCTCTCTCTCT